GGCACAGTTGTTCAGTCAGCTGGCAGTTGTTCACCGTATGTCTCCTTTAGTTCCAAGCTTAAGAGGGGAAGAGGGCTGTTATGAGCCCCTCTGCCCAGTTCCAGCACACTACATATCTGCAAGAACTTTAGAAGATCACAAGTCTACTGGCATGGCGCTGCCTTCTACACACCTGTGCTGTTTCAGATCCCTATTTCCATCACAGGCTCCCATTTCCACCAAAACTAGCAGATGTAGTGGGTATGTGCTTGGGCTCTGATGTAGCATTGCGTAGGTTTGCATTGTTACTGGGCAGGTTTCAGTTTTCTTATCTGTGAAGTGGGGATTTTAAAAGTACTTCCCCCGTACAATGTTTGTGAGCGTTACTGTGTGATAATGCATCTGCAGTGCTGGGCACGTGGCTGACAGAATAACGGATTAACCATTATTGTTGCTATCATTACTCTGTCAGCACACAATGGCTTTAAAGCTGCATAAATACAGTTGTTAGAAGAATGGACTCTCCCAGCATCCAGAAGATTCTAGAATATTTTGGGGAGGAGGCGCTATCCATGATCTTTTGATTGATGGTGGTGATGAGGAGTAAAGCAAAGGAAAGATGGAATGTTTGCGTGGTGTGGGAAAACACCGAGAGAAACATCTGTGTGTGTGGGTTGTGTAGGGTGGGAAGTTGTGTAGGAAAGTTTTAAAATAGTATTAGCGGTATCGGACACGTGTGTTTGATCAAAGGAGCAAAAAGGAAACAAAAACTGTGTTTTGCCAGAATAATGCTCATATGTATAATTATTCTTTGTATTTTACATATTTGTGCAAAATATCACACACAGTGATTGTGCATATCATTGACTACATCAGATTCACTTTGCTGTGAACATTATTTAACAGCCACTTCTATAAATGCAGTTTTTAATCAACTATGTGTCTTGTAGCTTAGTATGATGAGTACACCATCTAAACAAGTATTTATCCAAGTGCTTATTACAAGAGATACTGTTAATGTCCTGGGTCCCTGGACCCTTTTCATCATCTGGGTGCTCTCCCCACCTGGTTTCAGTGTGCCTTTGCTTTACTTGGCCAGCACCTGTGGCTTTTTAGAGGACTGCCGTCAGGCTACTGAAACTACCTTGCCTTTTGGTGCAGAGAACAGGAAGCTCCTACATTCCACCATTGCCCTCAGGAGCGCTCAACCAACAGTTGGCATGGTGTTATGAAAGCTCAGCACCTTTGCCCTGGGTGGGGAAAATTCCGAGGCATAATTTATACTCCAGAGTTTCTGAAGCTTGCTCCATGGCCCAATACCTAAAATTGCAGCCCTGCTTCCATCGCCCCCTCCCTGCCCTGCTCTTTGATATATGCTTTGCAGCTGACTCCTTATGGCTAGGTCTGTTCCTGGGGGAACTGAATTGAAACCACGGAATATGTGTCAGATTCTGTCCTAAAACTGGTGTAAACAACTCATTTTAATGCTCAGGACACTGGAAGGTGGTTATGATTCCCCTTATTTCGTGGAGAAGGAAATTGACTTGAGTAAACGAGAAGCATCGTGTACTTAATCCGAGGTTGTTAGAGTTTCATTGCTTTGCCTGCTTTCCTGCCGTCCTGGACCACTGACGTCTTATTTAACTGGGTTATATTACCTCTTGAAGTACAGCCACCATCCTAGGGTAGTTTATTGGAACAAACAAGACCACATTTTAAAATTATTACTCATATAAAGCTCATCGTTGATGAACGGTCTCACAACAATTCTCTTTACTTCAGAATGTAAACGACAATTTAGAGAAGAGGTTATAAAACCATTTTAGTGTATGGAAAAAGAGTTACTGGAATACTTGAATGACTAGGAAGAAGGCCACTGCATTTAATAAGACCTCAGTGAGACCACTGTGTGAGGCAGATGAAGATAAGGGGTAAGGCTTTGGGGTCAGACACATCTGAGCTTGAGTCTGGCCTCTCCTCTAACAAGCTTCGTGACTTTTAGCTAGTTATTTAATCTCCCTGAGCCTTAATTTTCCATCTGTAAAATGGAGGACTATAATGTCTATTTTGTAGGATTGAAGTAAAGATTAAATAAAAGAATAAAGGGACATACAGGAAGCTTTGAGCACAATGCCTCACATATGGTAAGCACCAAATCAAGGTGGTCTGTTTTGTTTTGCTTTTCATTGAAACGAAGTCCGGCACATATTGTGTGGCATCACTCTGTAATTTATTCGAGAAACAAAAGTAAACATGGACGATGCTGTAAACAGCTGCTCTCGGACCTTCTTATAGGCCACACCTGGTATGTGGGCCCCGCCCTTGAGGATTGCTGCTTTAATTCAGGCATAGCCTTCCCGTGTAGATATCAATCTGCCATTTTCCTGGCAATATCTTTAATGAACCGAGCTTTTTACATTTTTCCATTTACCAGAGGGCATAGAATTATAACTCTGCCCCTGAATAATCTGTCCACTAGCCAAACATCTTGCACCTATTCCAGGATGGCTTTGTAAGGATAGTACAAATTTGGAGTTTCGCTTTAACTCTATATTTTGAAATTATTGTATATTCACATGCAGTTGTAAGTAATAATTCAGAGAGACCCCCGTACTTTTCACCAGCTTACCCCAATGGCAATATCTACAAACATCTAATTTTAAAGAGAATTTTTGAATAAGTATTCATATTTCTTGTTTATGCAAGAGCACAGAAAAATCTCCTTTGCTTTAGTACAACTACAAACTGAAAGAACAAATCTCTTCCCTCAAAACACTTACCCAAGCTTCGATTTGGGGGATGAGAAATCTTGAGATACAAAAAGAGAACTTATATGTGCACATGCTTTGTTTTGCCCCAGAATTAAAACTAAGATCTCTACAAGGATGTTTTCAAACTTGGAATGTTTAATTGTAAAATTCTTATTTTATGTCTCATTGCGCAAGTGCTTAGATTTCTCAGAGGGTTAGAATTATCCACTTTTCCAGTCATACCCGTGACATTTAAGACATCATACCTCTTGTCTCTAGCAGAGGTGGCTCCTATACGAGGACCTGTTTAGGGAGGAGAGCCCTGTAAAGCGTGTGGTAAAGATACCTGTGGCCGAGAACAAAAGCAGAAAAGCCAAACGCAGTCAGTTGATGTACGTTTCCTTAGAAACAGCTATGGCAGAGGCTTTCCATTATGAAAGGCACTGGGGTAGTGCCGTAGGGTCGTTCAGATTCTGCTTTCAACTCAGAGGGCTTTGGAGCTCACTTAATGGTGTTTCTGGGGCTGATTATGTACAGGAAGCAGCTGTGTACAGTGTCTGATATGATCATCTGTTCTATGTATAGGATGGTGGTTTATTTACTGTGTGAAATATTCTGATTTTACTGTTAATTTTTAAAGTAGGAAATGTCTCTCAATTTCCAACTTCATCATCGTCCTCCCTGCCCCTTTTCCTTGAGTTTCTGAGCATCCCATCGTCAGCCTCTTTTCTCACCACCTTCCCATTTTTCTAACTGTTCTCATGGATTCTCCCATCTCACTCTTCTTCCCTTTCTCTTCCTCTCAGTTCTCCAAAAATAATTAAAATAAAAAAGAGGGAGAACAAACAGAAAAATAATTTACTAAAACATTTGTTTGGTTAAAAACCTTGCAATCATATGTTTATTTTAATTTCTTTTATCATCTTCCAAAATGCACGTCTGTGAGAGCCGTACTCCTGTTTGCCTACTGGGCATTTGTAGGTATTCAGTGGGAATGAAGAATGGTCCATTTATAAACAAACATCTGTTTGTCTTTATTTCCAGGCTTGATTGTGCCATTTGGATGAGTAGTTAAATGTACGTTAGTAATTGCCGCTTTAAATATTTTATACTAGGTACAAAAAGAGAAGGTAGAAATGACAATTATATAAATCAATGTTTGGAAGGCTGCCATAGCATAAGGCTTGAGGAGTTAATGATGAGGGAGAAAGACTTTTTTAACCTCTGTATTATCTGTGTACAAGGATGAACCTGACAATGGCTCACATGAGCCGCCAAAAGAGACAGCTGAGTGGACAAATAGAATATACGTTACCATGAGGTCAGCCCGAATTGAAGGAACCAAGGCATGGGGGTGCTATCAGTGAAAAAGAAAACCAAATGACAGGTCATGGAAGCTTCAGACTTAATTACCAAAAAAGCAGCTAGGCAGAGTGGCAGTAGGAGGAGGTGGGAAGGAGGAAGAGAGAGTGTGTGTGTAGTGGGTGTCCAGAGATGAAGAAAATAGAAGTGGGGTTGTGACGGCACATCACATGGAGCTCACCTGTCCCTGATGGCCTGGGGCTAGTTTCTGAAAGGGCAGACTCCTCCCACCAAACAAGCCGTATGTTTTAATTCAACATCAAATGTATCTGTAAAATCATTGGATGAACTCTGCCAATCCTATGGATATGACACTATGCTAGGGGAATATATTCATTGTCAGTTCAGCATGGCATGGGAGTCTCTGTTATCATTTGCTGGAAGGAAACACAATGTTAAGTAGGGGGAAATGCAATCTTAAAAATATAACTACAGTTTGATAGCAATTGTGTATGGGGCTGCTTGCTGTTCAATGTGAGGAAACAGGCCCAGTAGGATTCTTCTAATACTCTGGTTTTGCCTTTGCAATATTTGTATGTGTCTGTGAGCAATATTATTTTTCTCAATTACGGTATATGGTTGTAGCACTTTCAAAATGCGCTGGATGTACTTTAAAAGATGCAAGATGCTGTTTTATTCTCAGGGGAATTTCTGTGTACTATTACCCTGGGGGTAGAATTTCTTAACATGAAACAATAATAATAGCAGCGAAAACCCTAAATACTCCAAGCGTGCTGCTCACACTTAAGCAGAGAAGCAGCATAAGGTGTACATGTGTACAATGAGATTAAAAAAAGGAAAAACTAATTCTGTGTGGTAGTTTGTGGGACATTGAAAAGAGGTCAAGAAATAGATGGTAAAAAAGATACGGAAAGGAATAATAACCATCTCCTGCTTTTTCTTTCGCAGTTCTGTTTTGAACCCAAAGTGGATGATGCCATCAGAGCTGAACCACTGAACAAAGGCTGTGAACAATTCCCGTCTTCTAATTGACCATCAGTTGAGATAAGATGGAGGACTCTTACAAGGATAGGACTTCACTGATGAAGGGTGCTAAGGACATTGCCAGAGAGGTGAAGAAACAAACAGTAAAGAAGGTGAATCAAGCCGTGGACCGAGCCCAGGATGAATACACCCAGAGGTCCTACAGTCGGTTCCAAGATGAGGAAGACGATGATGACTACTACCCTGCTGGAGAAACCTATGATGGGGAGGCCAACGATGACGAAGGCTCAAGTGAGGCCACTGAGGGGCATGATGAAGATGATGAGATCTATGAGGGGGAGTATCAGGGCATCCCCAGTATGAACCAAGCGAAGGACAGCATCGTGTCAGTGGGGCAGCCCAAGGGAGATGAGTACAAGGACCGGCGGGAGCTGGAATCAGAAAGGAGAGCTGACGAGGAAGAGCTAGCCCAGCAGTATGAGCTGATAATCCAAGAATGTGGTCATGGTCGTTTTCAGTGGGCCCTTTTCTTTGTCCTGGGCATGGCTCTTATGGCAGATGGCGTAGAGGTGTTTGTCGTTGGCTTCGTGTTACCCAGTGCTGAGACAGACCTCTGCATCCCAAATTCAGGATCTGGATGGCTAGGTGAGTGTGTGGTGTCATGGAGACCGATTCTGAAACTGGCTTATTTGTTAAGCACAGTTAGCAACATAGAGAATAAATACTTTTCATCTAGAGCATTGCATTTTTTTCTAACATTTTTTATTATGAAAAAACTTAAGCATACGAAAGAATCAAAATATTTGTACAGTGAACACCTGTGTATACCTACCACCTAGAGTCTGCAGTTAATATTTACTATATTTCCTTTATCATCTATCCATTCAATTTATTTTTAAGCATTTCAAAGTAAGTTCGAGTGTGTTTTATTTAACTTGTATTTTTATCATCGTTGTATTGGTTTCTTTATTACATTCTGAAGCTACTCCCTTGGAAGTTAATAATGCTGTTATATTCAACACAGTATTATTTCTAAATACAGAGATTTGTTCTATGAAACTCTGACAAATACGATTTCAAATTTTATGTGAATAGAGTAGTTTAAATATTTTAGGACCCTGATAACTTTAATTTTTTCTATTATCTATGTGTATGTTTGCTTAGATTTTCAATCAGCCTTATTCACAGAATTTTCTATAGTTGATTTTTTAATCTTTTTCAAGGTGTGTAACTTTGTGTCCAAACTAGAAAAACTTCATTTCTTTATATATTTTAAATCATATAAATATTTAAATTATGTGTGTTAAAAATAATACGACCTCTCTATAAAATATCTATATGGAAGATTTGATTTTTGTTTTGAAGTTACCATGCACCCAGGTTCATATTTTTACAAAGCTGTAGTTAGCACTCTCTGAGTTTGTGCAAGGGAAAATAAGTAGGCGAGAAGCATGCATGCAGTGAAATATCCCCCCCAGCAGTTTAAGGGTCCAATGCAAACACTTGGTATAGAAAATCAGGAGGATTTCCAAACTGCTCTTGCAAATCCTGCCTCAGAAAACATGTGTATGTGTCTATTAAATCTATGTGTTTCAGAGTCTATGAAAGAAAGTAAAAATACTTAGTATCTATGTTTCCATGGGATTTCGTTAAACTAAAGCTTCAAAAACGAAAGTATACAATTCTTTTTGTGGAAACGTAGTAACTTTGTTAAGTAATGTTATTATCATTGATGCTGAGAAAATTTCTGGGTGATTAAAATTAAATGCCATATCCTAACTTGCTCTATGACAACACAAGAGAGACAATCATGGGTGAGAAAACGATATACATCTTTGTATTCCTTTAACGCTTGTTTCTTTTATATGACCCACTCCTAGTATTTGTTTCTTTATGCTTAGCTAAAAGAAATGGATCCATGAAAGTAGATTGTGTAGGTTGAAGGGGTGGGAGTCAGGAGCATATTTTGCATATTTTGCTGATACACTCATTTGTGTGTTCCACTCTCAAAGGCAGATATCACCATGCTTCAGAGGAGGGTCCTTGGTCATTTGTCAAATTGACCATCTCAGCAGATCAGTTTTGCATCTAGCTCTGTATTTCATTTTTGTTTTTTTCTTTTGGTGAGCAAGTATATCCAACTGTAAGCCTACACATCAAAATATGTATCGAGATTTTGCTGAAGAAATGTATCAGCAGAATGTATAAAGAAGATAGATCCTTAGAAATACATCCTCACAAATATTTAATAATTGCCAGCTTACATTTAGAGTAAAAAATAAAAATATTTTAATGTTATGATCCTACCATTGATACTGGGAACACTACAGAAAAATCTAAGCCCAACTTGCCTGTGTGCCTTTATCTTCTTGGTGCTATATGAAAGCACAGTACAACATATGGTTATCTTATCCAACTACCCTCTAAACCCAGAAACCCTGGTGATGTTACCCACCCCCAGGTGGCATTTAGAAGTGTTAATAATGCTGCAGCACAATTGGAGGCCAGATATTCTCATCTGTCCATAAATGTTGGCTGCTTTAGTGAATTAAAAATGTGTCCCCAGGAGTGTATAGTTTCACTCAATGTTGTGAGTCCCCAACAGGAGCATTTTAATGGTTTCACAACTGTGCCTTCCAGACTTGCATTTCAATTATTTTGCCATTGTAATTTCACTCATAATTGCATTCTTACAGAGTCTTTTTAGACAAGCATTTAAATTGTTTTGCCATTTTCATTTCATCAAATAATAGCTTTGTAATATAATTACCACACTAAGTCATAGCGATAGGATCAAAATGCAAGAAAGCAGGATGCATGAACCATGTTTGGTGGCATTTTGAGGATATAGATTTGCAAAATAACTTCACATTTGCTACCAAGCATTGTGTCATTTTCCTCAAGGAAGACCAGGAACAAAAATATGACCCAATTTATGTTTTAATTATTTGGGAGATTGAGTCCCTCTTTGTGTTTGCTAAAAGATTGACTTAAAGGTAGCTAAGGGCATACAGTGTGTGCATGTGTCTGTGTGTATGGTCTGTGTGTATATATAACATTGTTAATTGGGCCAGAAGAAGTTAGAGTAAATATTTAATTATCTAATGATGTGCTCTTTGGAAGAACAAGGGAAGTCACTTTAAGATAATCTGTTCTCTATTGCTAATGTCTATATATTAAGCACTTATTATGTGTAAAGCACAGTATTTTCACAGGATTAATAGGACAAAAAAAAAAGAGAGAGAGAGAGAGAGAGACAAGGTTTCTCTATCCAAGGAAGTTATAGTCTAATATGGAGAAATCACAAATGGGTAGATTGCCAGTGTAGACACCCAGTATCAGTGGCCGTAAGACAAGTGTAAATACAGAGACTTCGAGCAGGGAGAACGCGTTACAGGGTAAGGCCCTGCCTAAAGCGGTGGAGAGAAGGAATGGATTTCAGAGCTGCTCCAGAGGTAGAGTCAGCAAAGATTTGCTCACTGATCAGCTTGGAGTGGGGAGGATGGGACCAATCAATGAAATAATGGCAGTTCATTAAATTAAGGCAGAGTATAGATTTTAGCAGGAGAGAGAAAGATGAAAATGTCTGGTTTGACACCCTCTCATTCTGAGGTCCTTGGGGACAATCCTAGTGGAGTGCCAATGGGCTAGTCCCCACGTGAGCTGAAATGCCCAGAGATTTGGAAGCCATCTTGTTTAAGACAACACTGCCAATGACCTTAACCAGGGAGAGAGTGGTTTCCTGCTGAATACTATTTATGGAGCTGGGGGTGGAGGAGGAATCATTAGGAGGCAAAGGAGCAGCCAGAGAAAGAGGAGCAGTCAGAATAAAGGGAGGTCTGGAAGTTGCTGGAAGTAGGAAGGGATGTATAGCTTTCAGGTGCCGCAGTCTCGAAGTAGAGGCTGAAACCTCTCAGCCTCTCAGTCTCAGACCTGACAATTAAGAGTTATTGGCTGCTGCAAACAGCTCTTGAGATGAACGCAGTGAGCACAATAAACGCAATGAGCCAGACTAGGAAGGTTGTAAGCCTTTGTATTAAGTGAAGTGAAAATGTGTCCTCAGGATTCCCAGCCCCTGGTCACCAGGCAGGGTTTTCCAGGACATCAGGCATTCTTCCCTCCCATTTGCTGTGGCTTAGAGTGCATGCTGTGGAAGTGAGCCCTTTCTGGCCACAACTGACCTAGCTTTTTGTCCAACGGTTGTTGAGGGGGGCAGGGTTGGTTCTAAGATTACCCATAGGCAGGAAGGATGTCCAACCATTTTCAGCTCAGCCCTACTCTGACTCTAGCCCGTTAAAGCAGATCAAACAGCGTGCTGGCGTCTCTTCTCAAGGGTTGGCCTCTTGCTCACTGGCTTATTTCCTTCTAAGGCCCACCCAGTGAAGCCGAGAAATTAATAATTATTGGTTCAACTGCTTTATTGCTAAGGGTTGCAAAGATGAGTGATATTTAGGAACTAAAATATTATCACAGCTAGGTATTGACTAATACAAAATAGGTGAAAAGCAACATATACTAACCCAAAATGTACTTTAATAACTAAACCTGAACTAATTAATAGTGAAGTATCCCGTTTTTCTTTTATCCTTTTCAGAGCAAATATCAGCTGCTACCCCTAATTCCCATATGTGTTGGTAGTTTTCAGGACAGGAGTTTAAGTAGCATAAGCGAGACAGGGCCAGATTGCTTGGGAAGAAACGTGAATATTGAGAAAAGTGGAGATAGCAAGAACGTTTCATTCGCTAAGCGTTAATTGAGTACCAACTCTGAGGCAGGCATACAACAAGGTACATTAAGAGGATATTCTAATTAGTATGTTGTGATCTTTGTCAGGAACTTTTTTTTCTTTTTTTTTTTTTTACAATGTGACAAATACACTTGTGATAAATGTTAGTGCTTTATGTGGTTTTTTTTTTTTCCTATGACAGAGATATTGAATAAAATGCTGTAGGATTGCCAAGGAGGGAACGACTAAGTTTGCCTTTGGGAACTGATGAAAACCCATCTAGAAAGTGACATTTAAACAGGGCTTGAACCGTGGTACATGTATATCTATGTAACAAACCTGCACGTTCTGCACATGTATCTCAGAGCTTAAAGTTTAAAAATAAATAGTATAAACAGGGTTTTGAGAGCTGAATAAGAGTTTACCAGGCAGATTAGAGGAAGAATGGCACTTCAGGAAGCTGTTATAATTGCCCAGTAGCCTGGCTTGTTAGGCAATTATGCGAACTTATGTGTGGCAGAGGTAGAAGTGTTGGAGCTGACAAGTCACACTGTGGAAATATTGTGAAAGACCTTAATGCCAAGAGGGGGGTTGGATTTTTTCATTAAATCATTAGACCTGTGTTTTAGAAAACTACCTGTGGCAGCAGTATGGAGAGAGAATTAGGTGGGAGAGAGACTTAAAATGTCAAATGGACATGGACTTTAAGCCACTCATTTGTGTGACCATTTGCAAGGAATTTAAATTTCTCTGTGCCTCAGTTTTCATATCGGTACATTGGCAATAAGAATACCCAATTAGATTGGGAGGATTAAATGAGATAATGTATGTATAGTTCTTAGCAAAGCATTGACTATATAGAAAACACTAATAAGCGATAGCTGTTATAATAATTAATAGAAACGTAAATATCAGGAGG